AGGGTGTAGAAATTCTCTACCGATGGCTTCAGGACGAAGGGGAGATGGTCTTGGACGGAACACACCATCTTTGCATTGTTCCCTGAATCTCTGTCTCTAATCCTAAAGACACCTACTACTGTCTCTGGTGAGTTTTCTGCAATTGGACTAGTAAGTGATGACATGAGAAGTTCCGGTGGATTATCATTTACATCTGTTACATGGACCACCACAGTACATTTTCCAGAAAGCCCTCCACCATCTTTGGCCTGAATAGTTAATGTATAAGTTTGTATTGCCTCGTAGTTCAATTCAGCTTTAAGATGAAGATTGCCAGATGTTGAATTGATTTGAAACGTTTTGAGAATTCTTTCAGTAGCATAAAAAAATGCATAGACTATTTCTCCATTACTTCCGGTATCTAGATCTCTAGCTGACACAGCGACAACCAGCGAGCCAACAGGGCTGTTCTCAGGCACCTGCACCTTGTAAAGGGACTCTACAAATTCAGGGACGTTGTCATTTATGTCCAAAACCAGGATGTGTATGAGGGTGGTTCCCGATCTGGGCGGAGAGCCGCCATCCAAGGCGGTGAGGGTTAACCTGAGCTCAGGAACCTCTTCACGATCCAGCACTCTATCGAGTACCAATTCGGGATAAACATTCCCCTCCCCACTATCACGGATATTAATATGGAAATAGACATTAAAGCTGATGGTGTAGTTTCTCAGGTTGTTGATTCCAACATCTGAATCCTGTGCACTTTCTAGGAGAAATGTTGCCCCTGGAGTGGTACTTTCTAATATGTTCAATGTAATCTCTCGATCTAGAAATACTGGAGAATGATCATTGATGTCTCTGACCCATAGTTCAGCACGGAAAATCTGAAAAGGCTTTTCAAGTAACAACTGGAAAGGCAGCACACACGGCTCTGTGGGTCCGCACAGTTCCTCTCGGTCTAATTTCTCATTTAGAAGCAAATCACCAGTAAGCGGATTGAAGAGTAAAAATCCTATGTTCTCATCTGAAATGATTCTAGGTCCCCGAGCTGACAGTTCCCCCGCCCCCAACTCCAGATCAATTGCTAGGTTGGCCAGAAAGGTCCCTCTCTCCGTTTCCTCTGCCACAAAATACCGAAGCGGTTCTGCGCCAGCCCAAGACACTCCCAGAAACACATAAAGAAATAACACTTGCCTTTTCTGCACTGCGCGCACCACTCTGGCCTCCATTATTTGTTTTAGCAATCTTTCAAAACCACGTTCACTCGGCCTCAAGCAGCTCTCAGAAATGGCAGAAACCGAATCCTTAGAAATGAGCTGGATAATAGCAGTGCTCGTGGGGAGGAGTCCCACTTTTCCCCAATTCCATCACCATGGTTTCCTTCCCTCTACTTTTCTTGTCTGGCCAGCTTTCCTCTGAACACTGGAAATTCTTAACATCCTTTGTGCGGTTATTTCCCCCTCTTTTTAGCCAGCAGCGCCACCTTGCGTTTTGTGGATGTTATTCCCTTTTTCAAGAATAGAACAAAAAGATGGCGGATTAGAGGAACTGCAACAGGAGTGATTTTTTTTACCCCCAAGTGTCTTTGTGGTTTTATTATATCTTTTTCCTCAAATGGTCACGGTAATGTTAGTAGTTTACATTGCTTTTCCCTGTGAAAGTCTGAATTTGCAGAAAAATAAATTTGTGGTTTTCCTTAATCTGGGAACATGGAATTAAACTCTGGCTTCCCACCAGGAGTAAATCTTAAGAAAACTTTCTCCGGTTTTTAAATGAGTTCGGGTTGGTGGCTTTTCTGGTGGTATATCTATGACTCTCTTTCCCATTTTACTTTTGGTTTTCGATCTGTCCAGGTTTTGTTTACTTTTAAAGTAATTTGTATTTAATTTTATAAGCCATTCATTTTCTCTAGGTTTGCAAAATTCTATTTTTTTATCTTTAGGTATATCCCTATTTGTTAGTAATGTTTAATGTCTTGTCTCCTTTTTATTCTTGGGGAGATTTGCAAGGTCTATATTTTGCTGATATTTTAATATGCATTTTTTCCAAAAAGGTATATGAACTTGGTTCAAAATCAAATATTACTAAGTGGCTTAGAATAAAATACAATTGTTTTCTGCCCTTTCCTTACTTTCCTAGCTCCCTTCCCAATAGCCAGCCACTTTAATCTCTGTTATCTCTTCTGCTTTATTCTGTATTCTGCTGTATTTTGATTAATTTTAGACATCATCAATTGACTCCTTATGTTGGATTAGGTTTTAGCTCTTGTACACTTTCAAGGTCGGTTCATGCCTTCCTTTAGTTGCAGTATCATTGGGAATATTATTGTGTACAAATTATATTTTCTTTCTCACTTTTTTTCTTGAAGTTAATAATTGCCTTGCTTTTTCATTTACTTGATTTTCTTTTTTTAAGATTTTATTTATTTGAGAGAGAGAGAGAGCACAAGCAGGGGGAGAGCAAGAGGGAGAGGGAAAGGAAGAAGCAGACTCTCCGCTGAGTGCTGACTGGGAAGCTGGGCTTGATCCCAGGATGCTGAGATCATGACCTGAGCCAAAGTCAGACGCTTAACTGACTGAGTCACCCAGGTGCCCCTATTTGATTTTCTTTATATTTATCACTTGTTCTTCCCATACCTCCAATTGCTTCCCAGTAGGATTTTCCACATGACCATTCCCATATCTCCTGAGATAGCAATTTTCTTTAAATTGGGTGGTTGTTCCCAAAATGTGCTGCATTGCTATCATCCTGGAACATTTCTTTGCTGTTGTGCTTGGAATTCTCTTTGCCTTGTATTCTGGTTGGATTTCCTATTTTGAGGGTTTTATTTCTTCCTCCTTTTTGGTTTACTCTATGATTTTAATAGATCACATCCTATAATAGTTTCATTTGATTGAAGAGATGTCAGGGGACTTGCTGATGATATCCTCCAAAATGCCTGTCTCTTGAGTTATACAGCTCCAAATTGGACTAGTTTTCCCTTGAGACACGGTTGTCATCGTGGGATCATCCCTGAACATCATCTAGAGATTCATTTCACTTCTTTTTTCAGTATTCTCTTTTCTGTTTCTTCTGATTTCCTCTCTCTTGGACAACTCTAGCATTTTGATAGATATCTTCTAGTAGTTTCCAGAGAAGAGTGTATGAGAGTTAAATTTTGTTGTGACCTTGAGTATATTAAAATATCTTTAGTCTACCCTTGAACTTGATTGAAAATTTGGTTATAGAGTTCTAGGTTGAAAATATTTTTTCTTCAGAATTTTTTAAAATTTTATTGTTATGTTAATCACATACATTACATCATTAGTTTTTGATGTAGCGTTCCATGATTCATTGTTTGTGCATAACACCCAGTGCTCTACACAGAATGTTTTTCTTCAGAATTTTAAAATATTTTGTCAGTGAGTTCCCAAACCAATGTATTTGTTAAGAACTCTAAGGCGAATCTTATTTTATATCTTCCTGTATGTGACCTATATTTTTACTTCTTGTAGTATTTTGTCATTGCACCAAGCATTTTCAAATTAAACACTGATGTGTCATGGTTTGAGTTTATCTTTATCCATTGACAATTAGTAAGCCCTTTCTACTAGGAAATTAATTTCCCTCAGCTCTTAGAAATTTTCTTGAATTAATTCATGGATAATTCTTTTGTTTCTCTTTCAGTTACTACAAATCAGATGTTGGGCCTCTTTACAATCTCTAATTTCCTTATTTTCTTTCTGTTTGTCATCTTAAAATACTTTTTGCAATATTTCCTGTAATATTTTCTTAACTCTACCTTCAAGCTCTTCTTGAGATTTTCATTTCATTATGTTAATATTTTACAAGAGCCCTCTTTGTTAAAAGGATGTTTTCAAGAGAGCCCTCTGTACTTATTTCTCAGATGTAATAACTTCTTTTCTCATCTGATGATATTAATTATAGTTGGTTTTTTAAAAGATTTTATTTATTTATTTGACAGAGAGAAACACAGCCAGAGAGGGAACACAAGTAGGGGGAGTGGGAGAGGGAGAAGCAGGCTCCCCGCCAAGCAGGGAGCCCGAGGCGGGGCTCAATCCCAGGACCCCGGGATCATGACCTGAGCTGAAGGCAGATGCTTAATGACTGAGCCACCCAGGCGCCCCTAATTATAGTTGGTTTTTTTTTCAGGTTTTCTTCTCTGCAAACTTTTTCTCCAATTTACCTTCTTTCCTCTTTGCTTGGTTTTTGTTTCTGTTTTTCTTTTTAGAAACTTTCTTCAGGTGTCTGTTCTTAATTTAATTTGGTAGACTAAGGAGCTAAGTGATAGGTCTGAGCATGTTGGCAGGGTTTATCCATTTTAATATGTACTCTAAGGTGAACTGAGAGCACTTGTAGTTGGGGAAACCCCAGTGTTAGTCTGATTAGGTCTTTCTACTTGGACTGGTCAGATTACTCAACTCTATAAAATCTTCTACCGAAAAGGAAAAGGCATAGATTGAAAAGGTAAAGGATTGATGGGAGAAGAGGGGTGGAGATCTACATCACTCAGGATATGCTAGATAATGCTTCAGGATCAAACAACCCCAAATCTCAATGGCCTAAGACAATTAAGGTTGATTCCTTTCTTATACTACATATCCTATACAGTTCAGCATGGAGCCCTTACAGTGGTCAGTCAAGGATCCAGGTTTCTGGAGGCTCCATCTCCACCTATGCTTTCAGGATCACTATGTTGGAGAAAGTAAATGTGTTAAACCATGTACAGTCTTTGAAAGCTTTAGCACAGAAGTTATTCATTTCTTCTCACATTTTATTGGCTAAAGGAAATTACATGGTCATACATAATTTAAAGAGGAAATATTGATATTCTGCCAGGGGCGCCGGCATGGCTTAGTTAGTTAAGCATCCAACTCTTGATTTCAGCTCAGGTCATGATCTCAGGATCATGAAAGTGAGCCCTGAGTCAGGCTCCACACTGAGCATGGTGCCTGCTTAAGATTCTCTCTCTGCTCCTCCCCCAACCTTGGTGCGCCCATGCTTTCTCAAAGGAAGGAAGGAAGGAAGAAAGAAGGAAAGAAGGAAGAAAGTTAATTCTGCCATGTGTCTGAGAGAACTGAAACATCTGTGATTGGTCCCAGTGATTATCATAGTGTTTTAACAATCAGTCAGCACTCAATGTTTAGATGGTCACTTATTTCCACCACCCATATTACCCTGCCCTCAATTTTTTGCCAGTGGAACTTCTGATATAATGACTCTCCTTTTTGCTGTCATGAGAAATCAAAATTCCAGGATCAGAGAAATAGGTTGCTCACTGACTGCAGTGGGGAAAAGTGATCTGCTACAGATTTAACCATTTTTCAGGCAATTTTAATATGATCCTCCATATTTGGCACACTATTATCATTTCCAGAGTACCTAGGGCTGACAGCTCCGATGCTTCTGAAAATCCTGCTGTCTAAATAGGATTTTAAATGGTTCTCAGCTTTTCCCACTTCAGGATTGGTAGTTGGTTTGTCAGTCTACTAAGTCATTCATCTACTTTCTAGCTACTAAGATTTTTCTCTGTTGTCTTCTACCTTATTCTTTCCATTCTTTTAAGTTTATGTTTTTGAGAATAGCTCTTCATTTTTATGTTAATGCACATTTAGAGGAAGTTAAATTAAAGGTACATATCCAATCCACCAATTTAACTAAAAATAAATACCCTTGAATTTTTCAGAGAAATAGATTTATGTTTTATTGGTTAAATCTTCTGTGGCTATTATTCTTCTCCTGAAACTAATATTATACTGTATGTCAACTAACTAGAATTTAATAAAAATTTGAAAATGAAAAAAATTCCTTTGTTTTTTGTTCATATTGAATGTTTGAGTCATGTGACTATACATTATTTTAAAAGGATGAGAATCATTATTTACACACCCAAACCATTTATTATAAGTAATCATCAGTCTACTAACATTTTTTCTATTTAACAGGGATTGAATTATTTAAAATAGTATCAGATAGTCTTGTTCAATATCAATTTTGAAAGAAAATACTCAACTTAGAAAACATCCAGATAAAATACTAGTTCCTTTGAGGAAAGACAATAGTGTTTTTATTTTTATCTTTTTTAAAGATTTTATTTATTTATTTGACAAAGAGAGACACAGAGAGAGAGGGAACACAAGCAAGGGGACTGGGAGAGGGAGAAGCCTGCTTCCTGCGGAGCAGGAGCCCGATGCAGGACTCGATCCTAGGACCCTGAGATCATGACCTG